CACCTGGTTAAGGAGCCACACCTGGTTAAGGAGCTACACTTGGTTCAGGGGCCACATGTGGTGCAAGAGCCACACCTGATTCAGGAGCCACACCTGATCCAGGAACCACACCTGATCCAGGAGCCACATTTGATTCAGGAGCCACACCTGATCCAGGGGCCACACCTGGAATAAATGACTCACCTGTGCTTGTTGTCGTTTGTTCCTCGTTCTGTTCTGTAACTTTGAGTATTTGTGTTGGACCTCTCTGACTTTTTAAAATGATTTTCTCCAACAGATCATATAAAAAAAACAATCTGCAGACCACAGCTCAGTAAACCTTTATTTAAACTGTGATGACCGTTTTTATCCTTTTGTAACAGTATTTCCGGTTGTGTGCTGTGTGTTATTGTTGTGAACTTTATCAGGTGCTGCAGGATGCTGACCAGGTGCATCCTGCAGAGACTTCCTGCTGCCTGCAGGGGACAGCAGAGGACAGGACAGTGACAAAGAGGTCAAAGTCATCAGGATATTTTGAATTTATCAACTAAAAGACAAGAAAAAGACTTCATGTCATGCTTCAGACCCTGTTTTATTGTCAATCAGTGAACAAAACAATAACTTCAACCTATACACTGATCAACCATAACATTATGACTGCCTAAAGGTCTCCTCTGGCTGACTCATCAGCAGCAATTCTTTATGGTCCTGGTCGCTTGATTGAACTGGTTGAAAACAGTTCTTGAGGCATTTCTGCAGCGCTGCAGGAAGCATCATCCTGCTGAGAGAGGCCAACATGACTCTGTCCACCTCACTCTTAAGGTGGGGTGGACTTCATGGTCAGGTAGGTTCTAAACATCCACATGACGGAAGAAGACATTACTCACAAAACAACATAAAAAAGGCAAATTAGTTTGTCCACTTTTGGACAGAGACATTAATGTTGGGAGACATGTCCTGTGGTCTAATGAAACTAGAATGGAGGGAAAAGGAGGAAGCTGAGAACACCAGCCTAACTGTGAAGTAGGGTGTAGTGGCATCATGATGTGGGGGTGTTTTGCTGCTGGAGGTGGATTTCACCAGAGATCATGAAGAAAGAACTTCCTGAAGGAATATTGAAGCAACATCTCCAGACAGGAATTCAAGCCTGGACATATAAATGGACATATGCAGGCAGCCAAATTAGTTACAAAACGGTTTAAGGACAACAAAGTCCACGTTTCAGAGCGTCTGTCACAAAAACCTGAAACCACAGTCAAATAAAAAATGTGTAGAGGCAACAAACCTGACTATAGGTTCCAAAAGTTCTGTCAGGAGGAACCAAACAAAATTACAGCAAACTTGTCAGAAGGTTCTGGATTTGAACTCACAATGTTTGACCCAAGTCAGACCGTTTAAAAGTAATGTGACCATACACTAAAACATGGATGTAAAGTTGTGACTTTAAAGTAATAACAAATATTTCTCTCATCATTCTGACGTTTATTTTTTTAAATCTTAATTAACCTGAAACAGGAAAGCTTTAGTCTGATTTAATGTCAGTGAAAAAAAAACAAACAAAAAAAATGGTTCTGTGAGTTTTTATATTTTATGTAAACATCTGTCTGCCTGCATGTACTCAAGGCTCCGCCTTCCGGACTGTCAATCAAGTGACAGTAGGCGGACTTGTGGGCGGAGCTATCGAGCACTCCCCCTCCTCTAAGAACTGCGCAGGCGCAGCAGCAGCGGCTGTTAGCTCCGGTGTCTGCTGCGGTGTTGTTTACCTTTCTGCTCGTTTCGGGACAGGTGACACGAAGTACCGGCAACGACTGGTGTCGGAACCAGCCTGACCCAGATGGAGGCGGGGTCTCTGTGTGGCGGGAGGCTCGGTTCTGTGTGTGTTTGGTGTGGTTAGCCGGTGGAGCTAACGGGCAGTCTGCCCATTTTAACGGGATCGCGTCAGAGGACGGAACAGTCGCCAGCCGGACCGAACCCGGTGTTCGGCTGCTGAGGGAGAACCGGAGCCGAAGGATGCTAACTGTTTAGCTCCGGGCCTGAACCAGCCTCCTTCCCCTGCTGGTCTCCTCGTGTCCTTCCTCTCCATGATCACCATGATGGACCCGAACCTCCAGCCGCAGGTCCAGAACTCGCCCTCCTGTAACTCCTATAAGAGTGAGTACCTGCTGCTGTGTTGTGTGTGTGTTAAGGAGGCTGTCGGTGCTGACCTCTGACCCCTCCACCTGCAGTGACGGAGGAGGACGTGAAGAGGCTGATTGAGTTCCGTGCGTCCAACGAGGTTCTGTTCACCGGGAGGAGGAACTCTGCAAAGATCGCCTGGAGGTGAGAAGGTCCAGGATGGGTCAGGTTTGTTCTCTTCTGCTTCAGGAGCTAAAGTTCTGCCCAAAACACCAGAAGCTCTGAGGAAACTTCTCTGTGAAACAAACGTTCTGGGTCCAAACTGTGCAAAACTCCTGATCCGCTCAGCATTTTTATTTTTCCAATTATCCATCAAACAATTCATCATCCATCCAACTGGCCATATCAGTGTCATCCACTGATCAGGTCTCAGGGCAGCAGCTTGATCAGGGAGATCCAGACCTCTCCTTCCACAGCCACCTCTTCCAGCTCTTCTGGGAGAACTCCAAGGTGTTCCCAGACCAGCTGAGAGAGACGACCTGACTTAACTTTGTTGGATTTTTTACCTGGATTATTGAGCATGAACTTTGATGTTGGGCGACGTTTTATCAGAAACATCAGTGAGTCGATGTTCTGTTTCCTCAGCATCATTCTGAAAGGTTTGGGTCTGGAGGGGAAGTTAACAGCAGATCAGATCGCCAAGAAATGGGACAACCTGCGGACGAAGTACAAGGTAAAATCTACTGACCATCCCCTCCTAGCCTGACTGGACTGGTTCTGATTCTTTTATCGTTGGAGGAAATAAAAAAGTGGTTCTGTTTGAAACTCATCACTCATCCATGACATCATGGCCAGGTTTTATTAGTCTCAGTGCCTGGTTCTGAGTTTTTGTATTTCAAACACTTCTTGAATGCAGCAGGACTTCATTTATAAATGTGCACCAACTATTCCAAGTCAGGTGATTCATAAACAAACACTTCTGCAACAATTCTGTACCACTTTTCAATAAATAGTTAATAATGCAGTTATTATTCAGCTGTAAACACCTAATAAACCATTCTCACTGTTTACCTTTATTCTTTAGATTTTAAATATTGAACATCTGTCAGGAAGTTCCTGCTGCATTTGTAGATATGTTTTCTTTTAAAGTTATAAAAATATAATAAGTTGGGCAACAAACAAATAACATTTACCCGAAAGAATAAAAAGGCAGCATCGATTGCATCTTGCTTGTTTCAAATAACAGTGCTTAATAACCATTTTATTAATGCTTTATTAAAAGTTTATAACAGTTGTAATTATTTGATAAAGGCAACCTTTTGGAAAAATGGTAGCTACTTTATAAAAAAAAGTCGTAAATGTGGGGGAAGTAGTAAAATATGAGTTTATGGTATTTGTGTTGTCATTATGCCCTTAGTTTTTAACATTTATGTAAATAAAGATATTTGGGGAAGAAAGTCTTTAATGTTGGTGTCAAAAGCTAAAAAGTTTGGAAACTTCTAATTTATTTGACGCTCCTAAAACTCTGATGCTCCGAGGAAACAAGAAGTTCTGGATTTAGGACCACATTTGGGCAGATTTTCTTAAAGATGCTCAGGTGGATGTGGGCGGAGCCTCTGGTCAGCTGGGACTCTGTTGACCTGCAGTGGGCGGAGCCTCTGGTCAGCTGGAACTCTGCTGCTGGTTGGTTTTTACTCACATTATCTCAGACTTTTATTTTAGTTATAATTGACTGATTTCTGCTGCTGCAGCAACTGGCTGATATCGATTGTTGCTGAATTATTTCAGATTTTAGGTTTTGTAACTTTGACCCATCAGAACCAGGTCAGCAGCTCACAGATATACGAGACAAGTGTTTAAAACCATCAGACAGATGCTTCACAGCTGCATTCAGCTCCACCTCTGATTATAGACCATCCTGATTTATAAGTCTGTAGTCTATCTACTGATTGTTCTGGCCCGGTCTCAGATCAGCCAACACTTTTTTTGAGTTTTAAACTTTTCACTCGCTGACGGGAAGTTCTAACAGGCTTCTGTGCTCCTCTTCCAGGACCTGAAGCAGCCCTATCAGGGCCAGGAGCACATCGGGGTCGTGGTGGAGTCGTGGCCCTGGTTCCACATCATGGACGAAGCCATGCAGGGTCGCCTCTACAACAACAACCTCATTCTGAGTCCAGAGTCTGCCAGCGGCAACGTCCACCACGCCGACAGCCAGCCCAGTCAGACCCAGGAAAACACGGACATCCTGGAGTTCCTCATCAAGACGGAGATGGACGACACGGCAGCAGCAGATGAGGGCGATGGGACAGCCCACTCAGAAGCCCCGCCCACCGCAGGCATCCCAATGGGCTGGAGGAGGATGACCGAGTGCTCTTACAAAAGTAGGCAGAAAGACCTGGAGTCATGAGGTCAAAAAGTCTCTGATTATACTTTTATTGGTCACGTTTCTGTTGAGGCTTCTGTCTGAACTACAGTCAGATGAACAACCCCGAAACACTTAATCTGAAAAACTAAACATGAAACAAAGGAGAGAAACACAAAAGAGACGTGTGCAGGAGAGATTTTTATCTGATGGGATCTTGGTTTCATCCTCTGTCCTGCATGTTTCCTGTTCACAGTGATTGAAGCAGAAACAGAGAAGATGATCAAACTGAGAGCTGCGAACGAAGCGCTGTTCACCGGCAGGAAACACTCAGCCAAGCCTGCCTGGAGGTGAGAGGTCATCCTGGTCCAGAATCGGCTGATCACAGGGGTAATGATCAGCTGATCACAGGGAAACGATCAGCTGATCACAGGGAACTGATTAACTGACTAGAATTTAAATAGTTAAAAATGATTCATAGCTGTGACTGACATCAGCCGATGCAAAAATCGATCAGCTGGTTGCAGAGAAATGATTCTGGTTCTGTCCTGCAGGGCCATCCTATACGAGCTGGGCCTGCAGGAGAAGCTGACCACAGAGCAGCTGGCCAAGAAGTGGGACAACCTGAAGAGGAGGTATAAGGTGCGTCTGTGACCCGGTTCCTTCATCGTTTCTGGGCGCTGCTGAAGGTGGCGATGAGGATGTTGGTCTTTCTGTATTTTCTCCAGGAGCTGAAGTTTCCTTCTCGTGCAGTGGAGACAAACCCAAGCTCCTGGCCGTGGTTCTACAGAATGAACGACGCCATGGAGGGCCGTTTTGCCGGCGCTGCTCCCATACTCACCCCCATTGTGGAGGACGAAGATGAGGACCTCGAGCCGCTGTCGTCTACGTCAAAGAAACGAGCCCGGCGGAGCCGAGGAGGCATGACGGAGTTTCTGACAGAGTCTGAGATGGACCTGCTGGTTGATAACGAGGACAAGAACCGATCATCAGCTCCGGGAGAGCTGCACCGGATCACCGAGTTCACCTACAAACGTAAGACAGTGGGAATGCTGAAGGATGCCTGAAATTTACTGAGGAAGTTGAAACTGAGTTGTTGCAGTTCAAAGCACTAATATGAAAAACAAAACAGGTGAAAACAAGCTAAAAGCAGCACAACAAGCTAACAGCAGCAGAACATGCTAAAAAAACAGAACACAAGCTAAAAACAGCATAAAACAAGCTAAAAGCCACATAACACTAAAAATAACAAGCTAAAAACAGCATAAAACGAGCTAAAAGCCACATAACACTAAAAATAACACAAGCTAAAAGCAACAGAACAAACGCCAAAAAAAAGAACATTAGGTAAAAACAGCAGAACGCAAGCTAAAAGCAGCAGAATGCAAGCTAAAACAGCAGAACGCAAGCTAAAAGCAGCAGAACGCAAGCTAAAACAGCAGAACGCAAACTAAAACAGCAGAACGCAAGCTAAAAGCAGCAGAACACAAGCTAGAAGCAGCAGAACGCAAGCTAAAAGCAGCAGAACGCAAGCTAAAAGCAGAACACAAGCTAAAAGCTGTCAATCAGTTGCTTCAGCTAAAATAATTAAATTGCTACTAAAATTAGCTAAATTGGTCCCTTAAGTCGCAAACTTGATGCTACAAAAGTAGCATAAGCGATGCTAAAATTAGTAAAACAATAATCTTAAAGTAATGAGTAATTTCAGTTTAGTACAACTGTATCAAAAAGGAGCTCAGTAACACAAAAACAGCATTTATGCAGCAACACACGTTCAAACTGTTTTTGAAGGAACTGAAAATATTTTAGCACCTTTTCCTGATGGAATCAGCGGTGACATGACGATATACATGAGAATAATATTTTACTGATATTTCCTGTCCACACTCAGTGACTGAAGACGACACTCGGCGGCTGATCGAGTTACGAGCCGCCAACGAGTCTCTGTTCACGGGCAGGAGGAACACGTCCAAACCTGCCTGGAGGTCTGGAAACATTCACGAACACTTCCCTACAAATAAAACTGTTTAAATAAAGGTAGCTTCTTGTTACACGCTTCCTGTCGGTGGTTCTGTTTCAGGGGAATCGTGAAGGAGATGGGTCTGACAGGAAAACTGACACCTGATCAGGTCGCCAAGAAGTGGGACAACTTAAAAACCAAATTTAAGGTGAAAATCTTTAATTTTTTTAATTTTGATTCAGTTTTATTGGGTTTACAACTGACGGATCCTTGATATAATGATGTTCTTGTTGCTATTGTTCAAACCAGAGGATTGTTTTACAAGATTTTGTAATTACTTTGTTCTGCCACCAGAGGGCAGCACTGTAGTAACACTTTCACTGAAATTGAAATAAAAACCAGCATGGTGGCTCACTCTGTACAGAAATAGCCTCAGGTTAAATCCCATCCCAGTACCATTCTGGGTGGGGTTTGCATGTTCTCTCCGTTCATGCGTGGGTTTTCTCCAGGTGTTTCCTCCCACAGACCAAAAACATGCATGTTAGGCTGATTGGTAACTCTAAATTGTCCCTAGGTGTGAGTGAGAGAGTGAATGGTTGTTTGTCTCGTTTGTCTCTATGTGTCCCTGTGATGGACTTGTGACCTGTCCAAGGTGTACCCCGTCCCTCGCACAGTGATTGCTGGACATGGGCGACCCCCGTGACCCAAAAAAGGAAAAAATGGGTAAATGATGGATGGATGGAAAACCAGAATTAATAAGTTAAAACAGCATTTTTGACTGTTTCAACAAATTCTCAAGTTTTTTTTTCTTGACACAAACAATTTTCACTGTATAAAACTTAGTCTAAAATCTAAAAATGTGTTTTAAATGTTTTTTTGTTTTTTTTTAACTTTTTTCCAGCGTGATTTGTTGTGATTTTATTCACTGAGTTAAAAATCGACAGTTTATTTAAATATTAAATCTGTTTTTATTAGAACAAAACTTTTTTTTTGTTTGTTTGGTCATTTTGGGTCCTGTTGGTTCTGGTTGGGTCCATGTGTGCCTGTAGGACCTGAAGTTTCCTCCTCGGGGGATGGAGGCTCACACCAACCCGGCCTCGTGGCCCTGGTTCCAGCTGATGAGCAACGCTCTTGAGGGACGGTTGGTTGGAAAAGCTCAAAAAGTGGCACCCGTCTGGACCAGCGAGGAGGACGGCGTATTTGGTTTGTCTCCATCCCGCGACAGAGATGGTTTGATGGCGGCGGACAGGAGCAGCGTGTCGGAGCTGGAGAGCATGGTGGGCGGAGACAGCGGCGAGGCTGATGAGAGCGTCACGTACATCGACGCCAGCGGCGAGGAGTGCTCCACGCCATCAGAGTTTTCCTACAAAAGTAAGACTGAATCTGAATGTGGGTCAGGGTGTGCTGCAGTGAGTTCTGTTTGCGGTTCTGATAACCCGCGGCTTCTGTTTACGTTGGTCAGTGTCGGATCAGGACACCAGGAGGATGATCAAACTCCGAGCTGCTAATGAGATATTGTTCACTGGGAGGAGGAACGCTGCCAAAGCTGCCTGGAAGTAAGAGTCAGGTTCGCCAATGAGCCCAACTCCGGTTCTGTTCTGTAGATGTTTCATGTTGTTCTGGTTCTGGTCCGGTTTCAGAGCCATTCTGAAGGAGCTCGGCCTGCAGGGGAAAGTTTCCACATACCAGATGGCCAAGAAATGGGACAACCTGAAGAGGAGATACAAGGTGAGTAACCAGAACCTTTGTGTTTATGGGTCAGATCAGAACCATAAGAAACAGTCATTTTGACCTTCCCTTGTATCAGAATGAATGTTTTCATTTTCTGACCGGACTCTGTAATTTCCCACGTTCTCCTCAGGACCTGAAGTATCCTCCTGTTGGGATGGAGAGCATCGCTGACGGGTCCTCCTCTTGGCCGTGGTTCCACCTGATGAACGAAGCTATGGAGGGTCGGTTGGTGAGCAGCGCCCCCCTCCTCATTCCTGTCACTCAGGACGATGACTCTGACCCCGCCCCCAGGCACAAGTCACGCCCCGTCCTTGCCCTGCCTCCCTCCTCCTCCTCAGACTTTGTCCAAGAGGCATTTGTGGACGAGCAGAACCAGCGGAGCACAGAACCGTGCGACGGGCCGCTGGGAGGACTGGAGCAGGAGTGGGAGGTTGTGGAGCGGGAGCGGGCAGCACTGGAAAGAGAGAGGGCGGCGGTTCAGGCGGAGCGGCTGTGGTTGGACCGGGAACGAGCGGCGCTGGAGCGAGATCGAGCTCTGGTGGAGCAGGAGAGGGTGGCACTGGGCCGTGAGAGGGAGGTTCTGGACCAGAGAGCCCTGATGCTAACCTCTGTGGGACACACGGGACACCTGAACAACCTCATGTAGGTCTGAACACAGCAAGGGCTAGGACAGGATGCTGACTGGACATGGACCAGAAGCTGATGCAGCAACAACATGGACTGGACTCTGTAGGAACATGGACTGGACACTGCAGGGATGTGGAGCATCTCCGTAGAGATGTTCTGGTGTTGAACAAGATGAAGACCTTCGCACCGATGTGGATACAGTCAGTTGTTTCAGAAACCTGAACCGGCCGCTTCAAGAATGTGGTCCAGATGCTGCAGGAACGTGGTCTGGACTCTGCTGGAATAGAGTCCGAACGCTGAAGGAACACAGACCGGATGCTTGAGGATCATGGTCTGGGTGCTGTAGAAACACAGGCTGGATGCTGCGTGGATAGGAAGTGAAACACCCACAGGACCAAAGTGCTGTACAGTACACATAATAAAATACAATCAGTCAATAAAAAAGTATTAACATAATTCAAAGTCAACATGACAGATGGTGTCAAAGGGCAGGAAGAAGAGATGGGTGTTAAGAAGGGATTTAAAAACAAGACAGGGAAGAGATCGGTCTGATGTTCAAGGGAAGGTCGTTCCACAGTTTAGGAGCTGCCACAGCAAAAGCACGGACTCCTCTGAGCTTAGTCTTCGGCACACTCAGGAGCAGCTGATTAGCTGACCTGAAGGATCGAGAGGAGGATGTAGCAAGTCCATGAAGAGCTTTAAAAGCAAATAAAAGAATTTTAAAATGAATCCTAAAATATACAGGTGCAGAGAGGCTAAAATAGAGGAAATGTGGTCAAACTTTTATGTGCCAGTTAAAAGCCGTGCAGCAGCTTTCTGTACCCTCTGAAGCTGAGATACATGAATCATTTACTCCTGTACAGAGTGCGTTACAATGACCCAGCCGAGTGGTCACAAAGGCGTGGATTACCATTTCGAAATGCCGCAGAGAAAGAATTTGCTTCACTTGAGCCAGCTGCCTCAGATGGAAAAAAATCTAGATTTAACTGCTGCTCTGATGTCGACTCTGACCCTTAGGTTTGTAAGAGTTGGCCTGATGTACTGGGCCAAGGAACCAGCATGGACATAGGGGTCTCAGTGGAGCTTCCAAAGACCATCGCCTCAGTCTTTTTCTCGTTAAACTTTAAAAAGTTCAGACACCCAGGCTTTAATGTCCTTCAGGCATGACAACAGAGGGCTCAGAGAGTTAGTCCTTTTTTTTAAACGGGACATACGGTACATCTGGGTATCATCCACGCAACAATGAAAGGGGATCCCATATTTTCTAAAAGTAGAGCCAAGAGGAGGGGGGCCTAAAACTGAGCCCTGTGGGACCCCACATAAAAGAGGAGCAAAGGACAACACGTGGTCACCAAGGCAGACTCAGAAAGTACGCTCGACTAAGTAAACCTAAACCTAAACCCAAAGTAGACCTAAACCAGTCCAGAGGTGTACTGCTGATGTGCACCCCGTCACTGTTCCAAACGACAAAGCAAAATTTTATGGTCTACTGTCAAAAGCAGCCGATAAATCTAAAAGCAAGACGACAGAGTCACCAGAGTCCGTTACTAAAAATATATAGTTAAAAACGTGTAAAGGGGCAGAGTCTGTACTGGGTAAAGACGATTCTGTGATGGACAAGATCAGTTTAATGCAGACCAGTTCAAGTAACCTGGGCTTTTATTTGAGTGAGCTAAAACCCAAACCTCTCAGAAATGAAAGGCGTCTGTGACAACGGTAAGGAAAACCTTTGCGTTTGTGTGATTTTGGATCCGACTTCAGATCCCGCTCTAGAACTCGTGGGCCAAAGGATTCAGTCAAACAGAATTTATTCAGAACGTTTATATTTATTTTAAACCAAACCTGTTTTTTATTTTTGGCTTACTGTTGCCTCGCAGCAAGGAGGTCCTGTGTGCAGTCCCCAGTTTGGACCTGGGATCTTTCTGGGTGGAGTTTTCCTGATCTCCTCGTGGGTTTTCTCTGGTACCTTGGTTTCCTCCCAGTCCAAAAACATGCACGTTGGGTCAATAGGTTGCCTTCAGGTCCAGGTCTCCCTTGCAAAAAGAGATCTGGGATGTCAGCGGGATTTGCCTTTTTAAATAAAAGTGAATAGATAAATTTAAAAGCCACAATTGACAATTGGCCTTTTAACTGGGTTTAATGTTTAACAATCTGGTTAAAGATCCAGATGAGACGTGGAGACTGCAGCTGAACATCTGGAACAGCTGCATGATCCAGTCTCTAGATGAACTTTATTTTATCTGTTGTAAGTCTCAGATTTTATTTTATTTTTCTACAATCAGATGTTTAGTTTTGTTTTATTTGAAGAAACAAATAAGTTGTTCAAAGTTGAATGTTTTATACAAAAATGTTTAAAGAAATATTTGGAGGACTAAAGTTTTCTCTTTTAAGCAGCTTTTATAAATTATGTTAAAAGCAGATCCTCTTCCTGTTTTATGTCCAGAATTTTGAGTTAAAAATGGTTTAAAAACATGGAACGGAAAAACAAACCTTGTCTCCAGCATCTGGGGAAAACATCAGGAATCAGCCGTTTTATTTTATGGAGAAACAAACGTTTGAATATTTGTTATATGTATCGGTTGAACTTTCAGGTTTCAAATAATTAAAAACCCAAAGAGAAGTTTGGTAATTAATATTTATCAGATGATGTCACGGGTGTAATAAATAGCCAAATTTTACTAGAAACCTTTGAGAACTGTTTTTTAAAAGTATTTCATGGTGTTTATCCTAGAAAGATGTTTGCTAAATTTAACAAATTAAATGGAAGATCCATTGATAGACAGATGGATGGATGAACCTTTGCAATGTTTTGTATTCGGGGCGGAGCTTTGCCCTGACCAACATGGCGTCCACGTTGACATTTAGATCCATCAGCTGTGTATGAATGGTGAAACATGCCACAGGTTCTCCTCCGATGCTTGTCATTGGACATGATCTTGCCTCGACTTTGCATAACAGTTGCTAAATATTTACATTTAGCTTTATCCTTTATGGGCCTGCGGTTCTACAGAACATTTTGTTCAGTGTTACATCAACAGTTCTGCTCTACATGTGGTCTAATAAACCGATATTATATTTTAGTTTCGTCGCTGCCTCTAATTTTTCCATCCGCATCTAAAAAAATAGTTAAATACATTTAGTGCATGTTGATGTGAAAAGTTCGAGATCTGCCCTTGCAAGTAAAATTGTTCCGAAGATAAATGTTCACCTGCCGTGTGTGAGCATGGTTCATTTGAGTCAACATCATTTAGAGCGTTTTCCTCGAACGGGGACAATCCTGGATTTTGCCCTCCTTGTCCCACGTCCTGCATAAGGAGGAGTGGGACACCCAAATGTCCTGCAGTTTAAATCTCTAAAGGTTCCACTAAAAGTGAATAATCTTGCATGTTTGCAGGGCAGCATGTCTTTTCTATTTGTTTTTTACCTACACTGTACCTGGTCGGTTTCTCGTGGCTTGTTTTTACATAATGTTACGTGGTGCAGAGGATATTTTGTGAAAAAAGTACAGTATGATGAAGACAAAACAACCTCAAGGAGCTCAGTGTTAAAAATAAATAAAATTAAAAAAAACACAAGGGTAATGCAATATTCAAGTTTGATCTCAGATAAAGTTCATCTTAAAGACCAGTTAGTGTTTATTGCTCCACCTTTCAATACATGTATACTACTTACTTTAAGTATATGTAATATATATTTCCTGCTCATATTAATGACACAAACAAGTTTAGAAGTGCCTCATAGCCTTCTGCAAATGTTGGCAGGTATGTAGCAGTCGTGGCATTAGCAATTACAGTCGTAGTACTTGGATGTAGTATTAGCTGCACATTAACAGTTTAATATTATTATAGTAGCAGTAGAAGCATTAGCTGCAGTGTGTTGGAGAAAAGCTTTACTCAAAAGAAACAATCCACGACAGAAGATTTTTAAATCAGCATTATTCAAGACAGATTAGATATGTAAAGCATATGCACGGAACGTGTCACAGAAACGAGACAGGAGCCACGTTATCTGTTTTCTTTTATACTCTCAGCTGAATTCCCAGAGTTCAGGTGTCCTTGAAGCCAGCTGCAGCCTTCAGCGCTGTCAACCCAAACATGTGGTTCATGGGCAGAGATAAGATTGTCTTGGGAGACGGTTTAGGCTTTTTGTTCTCAGGGCAGAGGGGAAGAATGTGCCGTAGTAATAAAAACATCCATATCCCTTGACCAAAAATGTCCTGACACGGTAGCATTAGCTGTAGTAGTAGAACCTATAGAACCGTTAACAGTAAGTTACTATAGCCTTGTCCTGAACGAGGCAAATGGTTTGATTTACAATAAAGAGCAAAAATAGCACAAAAATGAAGAAATGTTTGTTACATACAGGAAAAGCGATCAAGTGAACGTTGACAGTGACTGAAGAATGAAGAAAGACGTTCAAACAGGAAAAGCTGGCCCAGAAAAATGTTCTGAAGCTGAACTGGGCCGACAGCCGGCAGGCAGTGAGACGGACACTCCCTCAGAACATGAAACGGCTCACATCACACAGAACTTGACCTTTGACCTCCAGGAGACCTCTGAGACTTTGCCTTCTGAACAATCAACACTGAGGCGTCCTGGTTTTATTCAGTCAGATTATATTGTGCAACTCCCAGAACCCTCATCTTTGTTTCGTTTCAGTAATTTGTATTAAACTGAAGAATATTAAAATACCAGCTCACCCATGACCCAGAAAAATAAATGATTTAATTACGTCTTGTATCTTAAAAAAAAAAAAAAAACTAAAATCATTGTCAAAAACTGTTTAAACAGCTGGGACCTCTGAACCCTTCCGATTTTCTTTAAATGTTCGGTCGACAGATAAAAATTCTGGGTTCTGGACTCTCAGAACCTCGGGTTCTGTCTGAACTGGACCCAAACTTAAATGGAAACTCTCAAATGTTGCAAAGTTTAATCTTTAATTGCTTTGTAGAACTTTTTTTTTTGATGAGAACTTCCTGGTCCGGCGTGTGAACAGACACACGAAGAGCTGATTGGCTGTCACCTGGAAGCAGGGGGCGGAGCCAAACGAATCCGTCCTGAACCGACCCAGGAGGCTTCACTGAACATCAGCAGGACATCAGGAGCATGCTGTCTGTCAGAGTGGGTCAGTTCTTCTCCTGTTTTTATCTTTCCTCTGGTTTCTGAGAGCAGCAGGAAGCACAGCTGGTTCACCTGGACAGATGTTTACCTGGACAGGTGGAGCTCAGGCTTCAGACTGACTGCATGATTTTTCTTCCCTTTCATTTTTTTGTTTGTTTTCAGTGTAAACATTTTAAATTGGTGATTTTTCAAATTTTGGTAATTTATTTTCTGCAAAATTGTTTATGTTCTTAAACTTTAGGATAAAAATACTGAGATCCTTTACATTTCTATAACTTGATCATCGAAACGTTTTTAAACAAACATTTTAATTCATGATTTTTTTTTTATTGAACTGAGCAGGTTTTGTTAAACTCTTAAATACATATTGTTTCTTCGTTCTTTTTCTTCGATTATTAAACGTTTTGAGGAATATTTGATGTTTCTTAACGAGCTGAAACTTCAAACTTTAAAGTAGAATATTTTTACGTCAGAAACTCGGATGAACTTCACCTCAACAAGTCAGGACTTAAACTCTCCTGCACCGAGTCAAACCTCGAGGTCCGGTCTCCATCCGTCAGAACCGTCTCCAACCCAGACAGCCCTGAGGGGGAGAAGCAGGAAGTTCAAGCACTCCATCCATCCATCATCTTTTACCCGCTTCTTCCATTTTGGGTCACCGGTGCCCATGTCCAGCAATCGGTGTGCGAGGGGCGAGGTACAACCTGGACAGGTTGCAAGTCCATCGCAGGACAAGTTCAAACACTGATTTTGTTTACTAGTTGCCTGCAGGGTTAGGAGGAGGCACGTAAACATCTGGAATCAAGCTTGACTCGTTTCTGACCACCTCGTTTTTGTTCTTGTTCAAAACCGTGACAGGAAAGTAGAAGCTGTCAACGGAAGAAGGCCGTGACGCGTCAGCCCGTGCTCGTTTGTCTGATTGTTAGCAAAATATCTCATAAGCCTTAATGACTGTAATTCTGTCAAAGACAGAAACATATTAGATTTTATAAGATAAAACTTTACTGATCCCGCAGGAAATTGTTGTGCCAGTTTCAGTACAAAGGAGCATACACAAGGAATCACAAGATATAAAAAAACAACAGCAAATATAAAAATACCAACAATTAATTATTATTCCAGGAGTTTAAACATTTCAAGGTGTTGTAATAAAAATATTTAAATGTTTTCTCTCAGGTTCTGTTTGCAGTCGAGGAGTTTATTCGTAAGGTTTGTTTGGTTCTGATCCGGTGGGAGCTTCTTTTTGTTTGACGCCATGTTCAGAGACTTTTTAAATCTCTGGATCAGAACTTTTGCCGTCAGATTATCTGTAGATCTCGTCTCACCTGTTCCACCTGAACGTTTGTTTCTTCTGTTGCAGTGAAGTCTCGCCAAGGAAACCGATCCAGCCTGATCAGATGTGAGACTTTGTTTTGAATAATTCGCGTTTCAACTTCCTGATCAATGTTTTCCTTCTTTCGGCTGCTCCCTTCTTCAGGGGTCGCCTCAGCGAACAAACGAACCAAGACTTGACAATTATTTTTACACCAGATGCCCTTCCTGACGCAACCAGAGAGTGGAGCAAATGAGGGTGGAGGCGGGTGTGGGCGCTCACCTTTTCCACCCACATTTTTATGTCAGTACCAGGAGTTGAACCAGCAATCTTCCGATCACAGGCCCATCTTCTCTAACCTCTGCGCCACCACTCCCCAACTTCCTGATTGATTGTTGGGTTTTATTGATCCATCCAGAAGTTCTCCATCCTCAAGTGATGAAAGGTCCATTTCTGACACTGAACTCATCAGTAGAACAGATTAAAACCCACTTCTGGAGTTCATGTCAGATTATTGGCATGGTAATACTAGAATCCAGACTGCTATCACTGAACCACATCTGGACCCATGAGGGCCACAGGTCCCTGGGTTCTGTGGCCCCTGATGCCAGGACTTAATCTGGGGCGATGGATAACAAACTGACTCTTCTGCTCTTATAAACCTGAAGGTACGTTTCTGGACTGATGGAGTCTTTCCAGATGTGTCAACTGCTCATGTCAAAGGCACTTATGCACCCCATACCATCAGAGAGGCAGGCTGTCAATCTAGATGTTTGCTCTCCTCTTTATTTGGAGGATGTGGAGTCTGTGGTTTCCAAATAGAACTTCAGATTTGGACCCGTCTGACCTCAGAACAGTCCATTTCAAATGAGCTCTGGTCCAGAGAAGATGACAGAGGTGTTCACATCTGGCTTCTTCGTTGTCTGATGGAGCTTTAAGCAGCATCTGAGGATGAACTGTGTTTACGGACAATGATCTGTGGAAGTGTTCCTGAGTCCAGAACAGAACCATAACCAGACCTGGTTTTAATGCAGCGAGGTCCAGAACAGGACTGGACCTGGTTCTGATCCAGACCTTTCTTTTACAGCCTTTTGTTGCTCCTGGAACCAACTTTCTGAGACGTGTAATTCAAAATGTTTTGAACTTCGGTCCATTTTAGTTTTTATTTACATTTTAAACGTCTCAGCTGAAGTTTCAGGTCCAGAAACGAAAACTGTAACTTGGATCTGATCTGATCGTCTTTGTTACCTCCAGATAACCTGGTTCGGTTTCAGGAATTAACTCTTTCAGGGATGAAGATGTTCACATCCTTGACAGAGAGGAACGTTGGTTTGAGGAGTGACGGAAGCCATCTTTGTGAAGAGAACTCATCCATCATTAAACGGGTGGAGGTCACCTTACAATTCTAGTTTCACTCAGCCCTCTGTGAATAGCAAGCGGCCATCAGAGTGCTAACGATCGTTAGGCTGATGGTCCTCCTCGATCATGTGAACAGCTAGCTTTGGATGTTAACAACAAATTGGTTGATCCAGTATGAGAAGGTGCTATATTTTCCTCAGACTGACAAAGTCTTTTGGACTAAAGATGAAACGTTTCAACAAGTTTTGTATTGTTTTTAATCCATCCAGAGGACCTGTCTGTTGGAACCTGCCTCGGTCTGCTCTGAATCTGCTGTAACGGACCTCTTTTGCTTCTCCTTCAGGGGTTGTAAAGGCGGCGGTTCTGCTGCTCTCAGTGGTCATTGCTGTCGCCATCGTCCTGCAGTTCTACAGCGACCCGATCAAAGGTACCAAACAAACACCTTATTGGATTGACAGGAAGTTGGTGTCTTCAGATGTAGAACAAGCCAACCGAATTCAAAAAGCTTTGTTACTTTGAACTGGGTTTTATTCTCGGACTGAGATGTTCTGACCCATTCGGATCGTTCTCATGTTCTGTTGGTTCTTGTCCTCTTGTGTCCATCCAGCTTTGACTAAAGTGTCCATCTCCAGTCGGAACTCCAGGATGACCACCAAGAAGTCAGGTGAGTGAAGAATAAATCTGACCCACACATTGGACCTGATGGGTCTGATGGGCCTGATCTGGACCTGATGGGTCTGATGGGCCTGGGTGTCTTTGTCTGCAGATGGATCCTGTGTCAGTAAGAAAAGCTGTCCCCTGGATCACTTCAGCTTCTTCCTCCAGAGCGGAGCTGCCAACGTGGTTCCTCCAAAGATCTGCATCAACAACAAAGTGTACGAGATTGTTTGTTGTTGTTGTTGTTTACTTTTAGTTTGGGGTCTTTGTAGAACAAATCCAACAAAATATCTACAAAGTATTTTGTTGTCAGTACGTCTGGATTTTGATTATTTTTCTTTCTATTTCAATGCTTTTTTTGTTGTTCATGTTTTGCGTTTGTGTTAATCGTTCAAATGTTGTTTACCTGTTGAGAGTTTTTCAGCATCTAACAACTTCTGCAAACTGTCAGCTATTTTAGCTGCTCATCCATCAAAAACATTCAGCTCATTTAGGAGATAAGACGCTGTGACCGTTGGTGTTTGTAACTTACTTTTTAAAATATTTAACTTTATTTGTTTGTTCATGGCTTACACTGAAATTAAGATTTTTTTTTATATGAGCTAATTTAAACTTAAAATTTTCTTAAGCTAATTTTAGGTTTTAACAACTGTTTTGCTAAATTTAGCTTTTAGCTACATCTTTGCTACTTTTAGCAATTGTTCTGATGATTTTGAATTTTAGCTACTCTTAACATTTAGTTGTGTTTTGTACATTTCAGATTATAGCTATTAGCTAATATTTTGTTGGTTTCAAGTTTCAACTAGAGATTTGTTAATTTTAGCTTTTTGCTAGTGATTTGCTAATATTGTAGTTTAATCTTGCAGATTTTCACTTTAGGATGATGTGCTCATTTTAGCTTTTAGCTAATGTTTTGTTGCCTTTAGTATTTACCTACTGTTTAACTGGCTTTAGCTGTTAGCTACTGATTTGCTAATTTAAACTTTTAGCTTTGGTTTTCCTGATTTTAGCCTAAAGTTTTGCCAGGTTTGAGCTTTAGCTGCTGTTTTGCTAATTTTATCTCATGTTCTGCTTGTTTTAACATTGACAATCAGTTTTAGATTCTTGGTCCAGTTTCAGCTGTGGTTCTGCTAGTTTTCATTATCTGGTTGTTTCCTCAGGGTGATCGGAACCATCCTGAACAACGCTGGAGTGGGCCTAAACATTGTGAAACTGAACGGTGAGTTTCTGGAGGCAGAGGTTCTTGATTTGTTTGAACCGAAACCAAACTGAGACAAACACGTCTGTGGGTTCTATAATTTCAGCATTCTGAGAGTCAGGCTGTGTTCCACGCACTGCTGGGCTTCCAAAGTTATTTAAATGCCCGAGAGGATGTCCACAATTTGGTCTTTTCAGGCCGCAGCCAAGAAACTTCTTAACTTGGGCCTGAAAACATCAACTTCTGAAACGTTAGCAACTTTTTCTCCGGGTGTTATTTCCACATTCTGAGAGTTCGACTGTGCTCCAGGCACTCCTGGGCTTCCAAAAATATCATTAACAGTCCAGGAGAGGAGCTCCAAAATTTGATGTTTTCAGTGTGTAAAGGCCATGGGGGAGGTTGTACTGCCCAACAAGAGCACCCTTCAGAACGATTATAGGAACGTGGGTTTTAACTGAACTTAGAAAATGGTGAGTAAACCGATGACATTCAGTCGAAGGTTTTCACCTCCAGGGACCACAGCAACCGACAAGCACATGTGGCCTGCCCTCGGAGATGCTCCTCCGCACACCCAGGCCTTGTGCCGGCGCTCTGGAGACACGCAGGCTCGCCTCCAGGGCCCAGTGGCTGCCGCCCAGTTGTCCATAACCCTAACTGGCTGCAAGTGGGGAGCCAGGGAGGAAAGGCAGACTGGGGACGCTGCCCTGGGCAACACGGTCCAGCAGTGGCTTCTTCTGACCCGTTTCCCTTTTTCAGTCCGCTCTCTTCTTCTTCACTTCCTCTGACTGTTTTTTCTCAGATTGGTTCAACAGATCTGAGCCATGATAACATAAATCTGGACTCCGATTCCCCTGGATGGTTCTTGATTCAGGTCCTTGCGATCTGAGAGATCCTGGGCTCAGCACACTTCAAACACCCGTCCGACAGTTTGATTCTTTGAGATTTATCTCAACGAAGTTCAGACAGGTTCTGATCTGTTTTAGGAACGCGGGTCAGGAGTCGGTCCAGGTTGGTAAAATGCATCAAATGCACCTTAGGTTTGAACAGATCACAGGTCCAAACAAGAAACCCAACAGAACAGAACGGATCAGATCATTCTAGTCATACTTTGTGTTTAAAATAATAAAATTATGAGGAATTAAAATATGTGGTCTTGGTTCTGTCCTGCAGGCAGAACAGGAGAGGTTCTGAGGACAGAACACTACGACATGTACAGTGGCAGTAAGTCAACATCTGGTTCTGGTTGAGTTCACGTTTGTACAGATGATCTGAGTGACATGTTTTTGTTGCAGAAATAGAACCTTTGGTTGAGTTCCTGAAGAACGTTGAGATGGGTTCTGTGGTTCTGATTGCGTCCTACGACGAGCCGGCAACAAAGTAAAACACGTTTCAGCGGTTCTGTCTGTTAAAAATCACTACAGGGTTAATTGGATTGGATCTCAGATCGGTTCTGATCCTTGATTAAGAATTGTTGATTCAGATTACTGTTATTTGTCTTTAATGTTTTATAACTTCATCAGACTGAGAGCAGAACTGTAACAGAACCAGATCTGACTAAAGGATTCTGTGTGTTGGATCAGGTTAACCGATGAGGCCCGGAACCTGATCTCTGACCTGGGAAGTTCTGTGGTCAAGTCTTTGGGCTTCAGAGACAGCTGGGTGTTTGTAGGAGGGAAAGGGAAAGGACCACTGGAGAAGAGCAACTTTGAGAAGGTAGATTTATAGATTTATTCTTTTATGTTGGAGAAAACAAACAAACAAAAAAACATCAACTTTAATAAAATGGCTGAAGGGTCAGAATCAAGACCAAAATGTTTTTTTTGAATGCTGCAATGTTTGGAGCCAGAGACTGAGCATTAAAGAGACATGAAGCTGTATTATTGATACTAAAGTACTACAGGGACAGACTATTCATTCAACCTTTATTTATACAGGTTAGTCTCATTGAGCCTCCAGGACTCATTTACAAGAGATCCGTTTTAAACAAAGAACACAGATGAGGTACAAACAACAATAGACAATCATATAAAATAATATAAAATGAAGAGTAAATAGAAGAAATTATGTAAAAATGAAACAAAAACAGCTACATTATGAAGCGATGACTGCTAATTTTAACGCTAGTTCAGTTACTGAATACTAATACTGCTAACGCTAGTTTAATTACTGTTAATGCTAATACTTGTAATGCTAGTTCTATTACTGTTAATACAATCGTACGTCGTGCTTCAACAATTCAATGGAGCCAATTAGATATGTCTGCCAAAGTCAACTAAGCTTAGAAAACACAAAAACTGCTAAAACCATTTAAATTTACAGATATTGAGCTGAACTTTGGTGTGGTAGTTAGCTGTGAGTCATCCCTAACATGTAGTGAGGGCTAACCGATCAGCATCTTCTAATTTTGTGTGCATAGGTTTATTTTTGGAGGTTTGACCAAAACGCTCAGTTTTGTTTCCTGCAAAACTAACTCTGTCTGTTTCTTTCAGCATGTGAAGAACGACCAGGCAAACAATAAATATAAGAACTGGCCCGAACTGATCCAAATGGAGGGCTGCATCCCAAAATTCATGGAGTGACCTCCTGCTCTGTCCTGTAGAACTGAGGAACGCGACATGTTCCAGAACTTTCTGTCTGAGGAACCTGCAATGAAAATTATTTTACTGCATCGCTCAGGAGAACCTTCATCATGTGACTCAAGTCCAACTTGACCCAGAGAACATTTATCATTTATTATAAACCCTCAGTGTTTGGGTCTTCGTCCCAGAACGTCCAACCGGAGAACTCAGAGAACACCTATGGTTCTGTCAGGTTTTAAATCATTTAAAACCTCAAATCTTCATTATTTATTTAACGTTTTTAAAACTTTTTTCTGCTTCTCAGCACATGTTTTTATGTTTCTGTAAGTTCGGGTTGGTTTTATTTTGTTGTTGCTGTCTGCAGGATCTCAGGCTGGTTTAATGTTTGCACCTAAAAACCTACGAACGTCCGACGTGTTCCTGCACAAAAACTGGAGATGGGAGGTTTTTGTTCTACGCTGCAGTGGATTTGATCTTATATCTGTGTAATAAAGTTTTTAAGAGTATTGTAAATAAAAGATAACATCAAAGTCTGTTAATATTTAACTAGGGGTTGTCTTTTAACTTATAAAAAAATCTGCTTCTGACCATGTTTTTAAAGCTTTTAAAGGGTCAAGCCAACTCTGGAGGTCTTAACGTTCAGACTGAGGTCTTGAGTCATTCTTACTCATGGGCACTGGGCAGCAGGAGGGTCAAGGTTAGTTTCTGCTCAGTTTTTTTTTTTTTTTTATAAATCAGAATCTGAAAAGCATACGAGAATCCAATGTGTTCAGACAACTGGCAGATCAGAACATTTTGTTTGGACTGCTGGTTCATGACTTTTTTTTTCTGATTATTTTCTGAGTAATTGAACTGAAGTGAGTCTTGGGAGTTAAATCAGTGTATATCTCTGGGTTTCGTGCACGTTCTGATCATGAACCCCGGAGAGGCAGATTGATATCGTGATCTTAGAGTCTGCACAAATCAAAAGCTTCAGGGTTACATTTGTTCTGGGTCATGACTCCTACAGACCCGCCTAGTTTCTGTCGGCCCTGCTACATAATCTAAAATCTATGATGTCATTATTTCACATTTCAGTCTTTACTTCTCTTACTGAAGCTACACTAAAGACAGTTGACTTGTTTACTTGTCCACCATTGTCTCAGAAAATCCAGCACTGTTGTAAAGAGGATAGACGTTGGGTTTCTATGGTAACCAGGGAAGTTCTGATGTGTCAAGAAACGTGTCGGGCTGAAGATGAGCAGCAACGAGCTGCCATCAGACCCAGCACCAGTTAAAGTCCTGTCCAATTTGTGATGCGTTCATTTTTCATTTCTGAGTAAATGTGAGACAGACAACAATAGACAATCATATAAAATGCAAAGTAAATAAAGAAATTATATAAAAATGAAACAAAAACCGCTACATTATAAAGCGATGACTACTGCTGCTAATGCTAGTCCAGTTACTGTTAATGCTAAAATAGTACTGCTAACGTTGGCTCTACCAATGTTAATGCTAATTCTGCTAACGTTTGTTCTATTTCTGTTAATACAATTGTACATCAACGATTCAATTGGAGCCAATTAGATGTGGCTGCACAAGTCAACTGACCACTTAGAAAACACAAACTGTTAAAACTTAAAATTTACAGGCACCGAGCTGAACTTCGGTCAGCCTCCGACTGATCAAACATTTGATCTGACGTCTCACATCCTCCATCCTTATTGTTCAGTTTTATTTCACAGCAAACAAATTAAACACACCATCAAACAGGTGCGTTACAGCTCAGCATCAGGAAGCGTTTGCACAATGCGGAAAAAGGAACTGCGTGCATGTGCAGGAATTTATTTCACTGCAGACTTTGACTCCTGTGATGAGGAGATTTATGGCTAAAGTTCATGAACACTGGTGAGGATTATTGGTCCAAAGTAAGTCTCCAGTTTAATCTGAAGATCTAAGATGCTCAGGAGCTCCAGTTTTAAGAACAAATGTGTGAGAAAATTCTTTAAGTTCCTCACATCAATATTGAAGTGATTTACAATTTTCCAGGGATGTTTAAGCAATTTTCACCAAAACAATTCAAAACTACAATCCGTTCAGTTCAAAGGCTGAGGAAGAGGAGTTCTGGACCATTCTGGTGTGCAACCACTCTCAACAAATGTACGTATGCATGTTGGATTTACTTTAAAATGTTATGTCAAGTGGTTCCACATAACTTTTTAAAGTAGATGTTGATTACAGGTAACAAATTTTCATATGATTTACTCAGTAGATTTAAGCATATTGAACAACAGTGGCTAAAGTTACATAAACTTAATGTGGTTACTTTCTAGGTTCAACAGCTTTTACTATGCCTTCTTTAAAATCTTGTAGAGAAAATAGTCCCCTTTTGTGGGACTTGAAAGTACTATAAATATTTATGTGGTAACAGCAACCCCTAAATACACAATTCACTGTTTCATATCTCCTGAGATGGTTATATATGTGCTCAAAAAACTCCTTTGCTGATGTCATATATACGCTGTCGTAGCTCGGACACGACTGACAGTTAAATGAGAACAGAGGAATGTGGAAGCTGCGTGGCCAACCATGACATCTTGGTGATGAGGTTGAAGATGAGGTGGTTGATACACGGGATGAAAGCATCTTAGTGCCCAGAGAGCCATGAAAAGGTGCATGTGGAGTACAGCTGGACGCTCGCGTTGACTGCTTACTTGGTACGATCACTCTTACTGTTCCTTTGTCTGGGATATTGTTGGGATTAAAATAACCTTGGATGATAAATGGTGGAAAATAGATCATATAAAGAGGGCTAGAATTTCTGTTATTATTTATTGGCTTATGGCCACATCTCTTTTCAAGGACTGCTAACTTTAAAATCAAACCATGACACTGTCTGCTGTCAGTAGGAAAATAGTGACATTTCTAACGAGGCCTTTAATGACAAACAAAACATCAAAAAGGTTCTTCCTCGGGTAACTGAAGTTAAATTATAGTTCACATCATTTGAGTATGTGTGGGGATTATAAAACAAGTAATGATGAGTAGCTTAATGGGTCAGAATGACTTTTGTAAGACTTGATAATGTAACAGGTTGCAGAGGAGATAATCAGAGTCTCAGTCTTTGTAAGATTATGTGTGGCTTGGCGCTGATTATGTATCATATACTCAGTGGAAAGAGAGGACAGCTAGTGTGTGTCTGATAGATTAGACAGGGACTTCAGAGAGTCTGTAAGGTGTTTATTGGACAGGAATTGAAAACAGGAAATGTCAATGGGTGGAGAAAACAGTCTATAAATGTTGGAAGAACCTCGAGACACGTCAGAATTGTACAGAAGGCCTCTGAATTCAGGTAATATAAAACAATTCTCTCTTGTTCACATATTTTGAAGTCTGTAAGAATAAAGATGTTGTTTAATTCTGACATAAACGTGTGTTCCTTCTGAGCAAACGATCCGGGCAGGGGAGAGGAGTAGAGATCTTTGTTTTCCCTCTTACAACATCTGCTGCTGAAGTTAGGTTCATGAACCTGCCAAAATCATTGTCCATATACTGAGGTCTGAACTCTCCTTCCACACAGTTTTTGAATCTCAATTTTAAGACACAGTATGCCAGAGGGAAAAGTCAGCTTCACACCGTTATCGTCTCCTAGGACAATCTGAAGCTTTGCTGGTGTAGACATTGTGTGTATTATCACACCTGACTTTTACTCTGAAAGACAAACAATATTAGTATAAAATAGAGCAGAGCACCACTACTAACAAGTCTTGTGACATATTTAAATTTTAGGCTAAGTCGTTCAAAACTAAGCTACATAATACTTAAAAATGTTTCAAGTGATATGGAAGTTTAGTGAAACACTTGATTTATCAAAAAGTTCTGAAATTGTTGACTTTGACCACGCTAAAGGATTAAACTGTTAAGTTCATTGCAAAAACCAGTGCAGACATGATGCTGTTTTTAGTACTTTACAGCGTTTTATAAAGTAGCTTGTTTTTGTTTCATTTCTACATCATTTTCATCTTTGCTTTTATATGATTGTCTTTTGCTGTCTACTCTCTGTAGCTCATCTGTTCTTTCTTTAAACAGGTCTCTCTTGTAAAAGTCCTCGTGACTCAATGTGACTAACCTGTTAAAGATTGAATGAATGAATATATTCCTGACCTCAGTATAACTCTGTACTCTCCCACTCAGGTTCACCACTAGCTGACATGATTGTTGTCTGTGGAATGCAGGTGTTTTTCATCAGTTTACTCGTACACTGCAGTGTTTCCCCTAGATAATTTGAGTTTATATAGCGCAAAGTCACAACAGAAGCCGTTTTAGGGCACTGCACAGTAAACATTCACATACCTGTACATACCAGCAACTCAAGAAATGCCTCGTTTCACTTACAGTGTTAGGTTCAAGCAAGTAAGTAACCCAAAGAGCAATTAACACACACACACACAAAATACTAATTACACACATCTGAGTAGATGTAATAAATTACTTTAATTCCTGTTTAAATGCAATTCATCCTTCCATACAAATAGTGTCTTCAGACTTTGCCAGCAAATTAAAAGTTTAAGCTTAATAGTTAAATTACCATCTTTGTGTTAGATTTATTTATAAATCACATTTAAACACTGCTTGTACCAATTAAATTGAAATAAAATCACACACGTTCTCTATCACTGTCATGGATCAGATAAACAACCAGCAGCTTAAGACCAGCTACCAGAGAGACTAACGTTATGTTTTGTCACTTGGAAACAGAACAAATGTAGAATATTGTAGAGACTTACCTGCTGCTGATCCTTCGTCCACACCACGGTGAAGTTAGTTTACGACTCCGACATGTTTACGTTTCATTAGCATGGTTCTCCCGAGTCATGTCGTCACTTTTGCAAAGCTGCATGTTGCGCAGTTTTTATCTTTGTGAAGCATCAAGTGCTCCCACACTTTTGGATTCAGGTCTGGACTTTGACTTGGCCATTCCAACACCTGGATACGTTTATTTGTGAACCATTCCATTGTAGATTTGTCTTTATGTTTTGGACCATTGTCTTGTTGGAAGATAAATCTCCGTCCCAGTCTCAGGTCTCTTGCAGACTCAAACAGGTTTTCTTCCAGAATGGTCCTGTATTCGGCCCCATCCATCTTCCCA